GAGCTGTTGGAAGGTGGCGTGGGCAGCGACATTTTGGGCCGAAAGGGCTGCCAGGGCGGCGATGGTGAACGACTTCATGGCTGCGTGCGAGGAAGTGCAAGCAAGATCTGGACTGTCGAGGATGGACGGGTTAGGGAGGAAGCAGCGAACCGTGGGAGGCCCGGTGGGTGATTTATATGGCTCGTAGTCGTGCTTCCAAGGTCTCCCACCCGGGCAGCTGCCCCAGGACGGCGCACGGCGCAAAACCTTCTCATGCTCCGCTCGAAGCGCCCGCTAACCTGCGGCAAACCCGACCACTCCTCCAATTTCCAGGCTCTTCGATCGAGTCCCACATGCTGGAAGCCGCTCGGCGCGATTGAGGCCAGCCCCGTGGACAGAAAGGGGCCTGACACCCCACATAAATGCCACCTAAGGGGTGATCCGGGGTGCGCCTGGCCTTCCAGAACGGGCCGTTGCTGTCTGGGCGATTGGCGGGTTCCGGCTCGGTTAATATGCTGGATAATCTAGTGCGGTAATGCGGAATCGCACTGCCGTGCGCTACGGCATCCCAGGAGCCGCACCATCGGCGGATGACGTCCCGTCCCAATTTTGGCTCCGTGTCACTTGGTGGGAGCATCACGGGTTGGCCTTGCAGAGACAACGCCAAGGCGACTGGTGGTCTTGGGAGGCTCAGTCAGGAAACCGATAGGTCATCATGGCAGCAGGGAACGGGTAGCTTACCGAGTTTCCGCTGGTCTTTGGACCACGCCTTGGAAGTTTCAGATTCTCGGATCCGATCTCGCCCCTGATGTTGCTCGCTCGGGAAGACGAGCCGGATGATCCCTGGCCTGTCCCGGTACTGCACATTTGTCGAGCAGAGTAGCGCCGAGTCAAGGAATACAAAGCCGGGGCGAGTTGCACAAAAGCGGGTGCTCCCGAGGTTTTGACATTTCTCGAGTGATGCTGCTGGGGCGGAACCGTGTTGTTGTCTGGGAAGCGGTGAGGTCACTGCCTTCCTGATCGATGCCAACAAGCTCCAGCCTCCACGATGCGCGGGGGTGTCACAGTGGGCGTGGCAGTCTCGTTCTGATTTCCGGATCCGAGTCGCATCTGATCCGGCACTGTTAGGCAGCAGCTGCCTTACCAAGCGCCTGGGTCGGGATTATCGGGTCGTCAACTGTCACTGCATCCCGTCAGCCTTGATAGCTCTGCTCGTCATCTTGGGGTGGACTTACAAGAATCAAAGGAGACGGGCTCAAGCTCCGCCGTACCATTTCCCATCCATATTAGCATTACAACAAGTAGTATCGCAAGTACATGATCGTACACCCAAACTTTACACCTTGACAATCAGCCGCAGATCCAACTCTCCTCCCAAAACCCACCCTGATTACTCTCCTAAGGCGACCCCTCAAGTCCCTCACACACACACACACATCCACTCCCCTCCGAACCCTCTCGCAACAACCATCTCTCCCACTACAGCACAGTAGATACAAACCTCCCCTACGGAGGTACCTACCTCGCAACCCAATACCCCCCAACCCCCAAAACCCGATCCCTCTCCCCCGCCGCCCCCCCCCCCCCCCCCACTACAGCACAGTAGATACAAACCTCCCCTACGGAGGTACCTACCTCGCAACCCAATACCCCCCAACCCCCAAAACCCGATCCCTCTCCCCCGCCGCCCCCCCACTCCCACTCCGCACCCCCACCCGATGCAACGGCACCGGCCCCCTGGAGGAAGAGGAGGAGCCCACCACTTTCGCCATGACCCGCTCCTTGACCCCATCAACCTTGCCTCCCAAGTTCAACAACCCAGAACCACCACCACTACTACTACTATTACCCCCCCTCCCCGTCGCCGCCGCCGCCGCCATCAGCCCCGCCGTCACGACAGGTGCGTCGGCCCGCCAGTTCCCGCGCGCCAGGCTCACGAGCGCGAGGCAGGCGTCTCTCGACGCGGCGTCCATTTGCCCTTTGAGGAGGAAGGGGTTGGTGGGCTGGGGATTCGGATTTGGTCGGAGGAGGCCTAGGATGAGGACTGTGAGGGTTTGGTTGAGTAGGATGTTGCCAGTAGTAGCGGGGGGGTGTAGGTTTAGGAGGTGGGCTGTCACGAGGGGTTTAGGTTTTACTGAGGGGGCGGAGGACGGGTCCGGTGCGATTGTTAGGATTGTTTCGTGCCATTGCCATTGCGTGTCCATGTGCGGCGGGAGGGGGAAGGTGGGTGAGGTGGGTGAGTTGTAGACCTTGCTGCTGCTGCTGCCCTTGCTGTTGGGCTGGACGGGGACGCGCGCCCAGCCAAAGTAGATGCCGCTGAGGCGGTACCGGATCTCGTCTGGGACGCCTGCGAGGTTGGCGGTGGGCACGCCGAGTTCGGCTTGGCTGCGGCCTGTGCCCTGGACGACTTTCGCCTGGAACTGCAGCGGGAAGGGTGGTTCTGGGCCCGAGTCGGGTCCGATGGGGTGGATGGCATTGGGGTCCGCTTGGTGGGATCGCGTGACGTGGGCTTGGTGCGCGGTGACGAAGGCATGGTCGCGCTCTGCGTCGCGTTCGGCCGAATTTTCGTTGAAGTGGTCGGCCACGAGACCGCCAACCGTCTCGGTGACGAAGCCCGGGCGGACTTTGTCCATGACGGCTTGGACCGGGTCCCGCACGGGCGCAATGTACCTGTCGGCCGTGGTTGTAGCCACCACAGAGGCCACGAAGACACCCATTTCGAGAGGCAGGGAGGTCAGGGAGGCGCCGCGGAACACACTCGAATCTGTCGAGGCGCTGGCGAGGCGGAAGATCGGGCTGCCACAGAGGGTCTTGCACTTGGATGACGGCTCGTTGGTTCCGTTCGGCGCTCCCCTGCCAGTGCACATGTTCAGGCGAAAGTAGCCGTCTTCCGAAGCCTCGGGGATCCTGATGACATGAGTCTCGCGCGGGACGTGGGCCTTCTTTGGCCCCATTTCCTGCAGCAGCTTCTTTGCGGCCTTGGCAATGTCTCGCTGCCAGGCGCGGTCGGTGTCGGCGGACAGCTGGTGCGGACCAACCTGGGTTGAGGGCGTAACGTGCAGCCAGTCGTCGGTAGCGTTGAAGAAGGCCTTGATCTTCATGCCGCTGTCGCCCGAGTAGCCGCGCTGCTGCAGCCAAAGGGTGCGGTCGTCGGGAAGGGCCCGGTCAGGCGAGGTAAAGATGGTGATGGCGACGGAAGTGCTCGGCCCCCGGTAGAAGACCAGCGGAGCGGAGTGTCGCAAGATGGTGTAGTGCTTGGTCGATTCGGTCGGGTGCGGGATCAGTCCGCCGGCGAAGTGGCGTGCTTCGCTGAGAGCAGACTGCACAAAGTTCTTCTTGCCGGCGGTCGCCTCGGGCCCAAATGTCGCGGCGGTGGTCCACTGTGGGTTATCCAACGGTGAGTCTGCTGCGGCCCGCGAGAGCTCGGGCATGCTTCTCTGTGGCCGGAGGCCATGGCCGGAGGCAGTTTGCAGGAACGGGTCTGCGCCGCGGGAAACCGGTCTCGAGGGCAGCTGCGGGTACTCCGTCGGCCGGAGTCGGCTCTCGATCTGGGGCGGCTTCTGGTGGGACTCGGAGGGAGCGGCGTACGGAGGCAAGTCAGACGACTTGAAATCGGGGTCCAGAGCGGCAAGTGCAACCGGTTTCCGCCGGATCTGCATCGGAGCCGCCATCTCCATCATCACCACCTCGGCATTAATCCTAAGATCCAGTTCCCATCGCACGAAGCCAGATCACAGGAGAGGAGCCTGCATGTTGGAGATTTTGTTAATGCCAAAGCTGGTGAATAATTAGCCCCTGTTTGCTCACTTCGTTTGCTGAGATGAAAGTTGAGATGAGTGTGGGGCCAATTAAGTTGTGTGCGTGTGCAGTTGCATGGTTGCCGACATGACCCTAACCCTAGCCCCAAAAACAGAGATTACCTCGGAGGCTTCCACAATATTTATTATTATTATTCTTCTTCTTCTTCTTCTTCCTACACCGCTATGCCCTGGGGGCGTGCCGGACCTTCAAGTATTTACTATACAGGAAAACCGCACCCTTGCAGGCCGGATGAAAAACCCATATCGAAAATCAAGGAAACGATCAGTGACTGAGCCTGCAATTACAAAAAGAGAAGGCCTCCTGGCCTTCGAAGGAGGGGGCATCAGACCGCAAGCTCCAGCTCCAGCTCCAGCCTCCTGGCCAGATTGTACATCGGCAGCCTCCCTGAGTCCATCAGCCAGCCTAGGATCCTCCGTGTTAGCCGTGCAGCTGTGGGACTGATTCCCTGTAGAACAGAGTAAAGTCCCTTCGCGTTCGAACATCAGCTCTCTCCCAACTTCGAGCCAACGGTGGCGCCAGACACCACATCACCAGGTGTCGACAGTTTCTCGCCCTTCCCCACACTCGCAGCTGGGCGTCAAGACCTCTGGAACGCCCCGTTTGAAGAGGAAGTCCCGAAGGCCTATCGCCCCAGTTCGGATCTGGACCAGCAGCGAGCTTTCGCCTTGCTTAAGCCCTCGTGCCTCTTTAGGGTTTTGTCTTTGAACAGGGTCTCCTGCTGGTAACCAAAGTCATCGGCTGGCCTTGTGACTGCTAGGCCATCCCGTTCCTTTAGCCACCTCTCCTCCCAAGCCTCCTGCACTACCCTGTCTGTGTCGGCTGTTCCACCTATCCAATCTGCGATTGTGATGGCGGCTGTTTCCACTGCTGTAGGCTTCTGCGGTCCGAAGGCTCGTGGTCGACCCCTGCCGTTCTTCCTCGAGTTGAGTCTCCGGTAGATATCGTTGCTGGCCCTGTGGATGATGCTCCCTGCAGTCTTGTTCGCGCCTTGACCGTCAGCTAACGAGGGCATTCGCAGTCGGGCCTCAAAGTCAGCTAGTCGCTTGTTGAAGTACAGGTCCAGCGGTGGCACCCGTGTCTCCTGTTTCAAGGTTTCGAATAGGAGTGGACTTGAAGGCCCCTGCTACTATCCGTAGGCTCTTGCTCTGGGTTTACTATATTAAATATATATTATAACTTTAGTATTGTGATTTAAGAGTGGCTCAGTGGTCTAGTGGTATGATTCGCGCTTCGGGTGGTTATCCCGCTGCTTGTCAACAGACTACAAATGTGCGAGGTCTCGGGTTCGATCCCCGACTGAGCCCCAACATTTAATGTTATAATTTTGGTATAACTTCAGATGTTTTTGTCTTCTCTCTCTTTAGTTCTATTGTAGCATATTGGTGGTATGATTCGCCGCCCTTCGCGTGTTCCCTCGCTTGAAAATACGGTCTCGGGTCCCGTGCCTAGTGTAACGGCCTCAGGAGTATATCGCAACTATCTGATGACGACTCTACGACTATAACTAAGCTTCAAGAAGGAAAGGAAGAAAGAGAAAATGGTCAACGCGTCGCGTTGGCCTTCGTCTGTCCAGATCGAGACACTAAGTGCAAAAGGGGTAAGTGTGATGGGGTTGTTGATGGGGTCGTTGACCCGGCGATGTTCGGGGGTTCCTGTCAGGGGTTCCAGTCAGGGGTTGGGGTTGGCCGAGGATCACCGAGGCCTCTGCAGGGCTCAGCCCGTTACACCTAGTTAGGCTCTCTCTCCACTTTTGCCTTCTCATGATGAGATACCTACCTACCTTGTAGTAATTAGGCAAAGCCAGTACCCAAGTGAGGAACGGTACCTGCTCAGGATGGTTGCAGATCCTCCCTCCATCATAAGGTACCTAGTCGTTTCCAGTGCTATCAAGTATCAACTACCTGAGTGAACGGCGCTGTAAAAGTCTAGTAGGAAACCAAGTACCATCTGGCTTGCTGCCTTTCTTGAATTACGTCTTTATCCCCCTGATATCACTCGCACCTGCCAATTCCATAATTCCCAACCCATACCCCTTCCAGTCCAAAAAAAAACTTGCTATAACACCCCCCAGGAACTCAATGCCCATTCTACAAGCAATCGGAAGGGACGCAGTCCGCTACCATTACCATCGATCCACCTCAAAAAGGCTCAAACCCCAAACGCTCGACAGTAGTAACTCGAGCACGATTCCCCAAGGCACTACTAAATATGGAAGGTATCACCCCTGCCCGATTTAATCAACCACGCCTTTCACTTCCGCGGCTCAACCCCCAAAATCTCATCAAACGTCGTCGCCCTCCTAACCATCGGCATTTCGTTACCCTCATCCCTACCCGCACCCGCACCTTCACCTGCACCCGCTCTGGCAGATGTACCAGGCCACCGAGCCCCCATCCTGGCCATCCCCGTCCCCTCCGCACGAGTCAAAGTCGAGCTGCGCGCCACCCTCGCGTTCGTGCCGTGTCGCTCTCCCCCCCCGTCCCCCGACTCTCCACTGGCATCGCCGTTGAAGGTCGCGCGGCGGGATACCGATGCCCTGGAGTTGGACGTGCTGCCGGGCGAGGAGGACGACGTCAGGAAGCGGGCGAGCCGCGAGAGTGTTCCTGTGCGACCGAGCCTGGGGAAGTTGTTGTCGCTTTCTGGGCGGGTGTTGTCGGAGACGAAGCTGTCTCGGACTGTGGTGCCGCTGAGGAGGGATGTGGAGTCGGGATCGGCGTTGGTGTCGGCTTTAGTGGGGGAGCTCGGGAGGTCGGCGAGGGTCTTGGCGGTGCCGGGGGCGGGGCTGGAATGGTGGGGTAGTGGGTTAGGGTTGGGGAGTTTGGCCTTGTCCGGGGACGCTGGGATGCTGTCATTTTGATCATTCTTTTGGCCGTGGTCGTGGAGGATGTTGAGCCTGAACGGCCGTTTGTCGACAGTGCTGTGGAATGCAGGGATGCGCGCGCGCGGCAACGGTCGGGCTGCCGATGTCACACGATGCAGTCTGCCGTATCGGGAGCCTGGCGCCCCTTCCCAGTGACTGCCGTCGCTGTCGCGGTACGTGTAGACTTGGGTGTCGGCGTCGTAGCCTACCCGGGTCATGCCCTCGGGGAGGCGGTGGTCGTCACCGTCGAGATCTGACCACTTGCCCATGATGGTGAATACTGAATATTATCAACTAACTAAAGTTTTGGGGGGACGATGTGGCGATTCTGGTCGAGAGACCGACGCAAGGTTTAAGTACGCGCGGGGTGGCTGAACTTGCTGGCGAGATGCAGACTGTCGGGGCTGATGAAGGCAACTTATCAGTCACATGGGGGGGTGCCTTGTGCGGTCCGGTACGGTCCTACGGATGTGCCCGGCAATTGGAAGAGGCAGACTGACTAGTAAGATAAAGTAAAGCAGCCTGGAAATAAGTCCTGGAAAGCCAGGCGACATCTTATTTGCAGACAACTTGAAGTAAAACAGAGCAATCACCAGGGCAGCCCTGACTGGTAACTGGTGGAAGCTTTCCCGATGCCTCACACTTGCAGAGTATTAATCCGTACCTGAATGAACGGAATCAAGGTACGTAATTACCGTGCAACGCAAACTTTTGCCAGTGATGAAAGATTGAAGCTGGATGTTACCACCTAACCCTGATTGAGAGCTGGTACTTGTCTAATGAGAACTCTCGAGTGCGTCTTGCCAGTAGCACGGGAAGATTGCACGCCCCTTATACCACGACGTGTTTCTCGACGTACGGGGGGTACCTGTACGCAGACGAGAGTTTTTAGACTCTGAGCATGTGGCCCTGGAAAATCGATCAAGTACAGGAATTATTACAACAAGATCATGAAAACTATTTTACAGGCACGTAAGGTATGATTTTGTATGAGATTGCCGACTGATC